TACCTTAGAATTTAGAAATTAACCTTTGAAAGACTTTGTAACCGTTTGCTCACCTAAACAGAATTAGTTAAAGAATCTGTAGAAGCCTTCTGTAAAAGCCTTTTGAAAATCTGTTAACCTAAAAGGGACTACCTGCTGTTATGTAAATCTGTTACCCCCCGACAATCGTTCACTATTTCCTATAAGTTACCATGTAAGACCTCATCCGGGGCTTTTGAGACCAACGGAGAGGTCTAAGCCCCCTGAGCTCCCGCTTTGCCTATAATCTTTATAAACTTATAAAACTATATCTTTGTCTCAGTGTATTCTTTTATTTCTTCCATTTTCCATTTCTCTCTATTATTTCTTATCCCTTGCAACTCTACCAAAGGGACCTGGTTTTTTGCAGGGAACACTGGCCACGTTCCCTGCATAATATCTCATTACCAGTGTCAACTACTTTCTTATGATGTTTTAAGTTAATGTGATGTTAGAAAGATTCTGAGAAAAAATGCTTGATACCGATTGCTTTTATTTTTTAGTGTTACACACCAATTTCAAATATGATATATTAGTAAACTTTTGAGCATTGTGTAGATTTGGTGTTGCTAGGAAGTTCAGAAACCCAGTATGCAGTTTGACCTAGCAGGTTTTTATTGGTACTTAATGATTATGTCTCAAATGACCATGTGTTCAGCTCTGTGCCAAGAACTTGTGTGTGGGTATTTGGAGGGGATGAGGGTTTGGAGGCAAGGTCTATAGAATAATATCTACTCTAAAGAATTTCCAATCTAGTTTTCAAGTTGGGTCACATACTTGAGAAAGAAGATAATGCAGATAACTGAGATATTTCTTATCATACTATATGTTCAATATGAAAGCTCATAAAATATATATTCATCCCTATTTAACAAATCTTAGTTTTAGAGCTACTATACCTGGAAGAGTCTCTTTCAGTCTAAACAGCTTCCTTTAGTTTTTTTAATTACTGGACCTTCTAAATTATATATAGCTTCAAATATGTCCAGCTTGATCAGTGAACTGAAAATATCATGTGATTTAAATATATATTTAAATTTTTTTCAAAATATATATTCATCTTGGTTATCAAAACAGATAATAAATCTGTGAGAAATAATCTTAATGAATTTGTTTCTTTTAATGGTTCCTTTAGTTTTTTTAATTGATTACCT